CCTTCTATACTCATCTATCTGAAACAAGTATACAAGACAAGCGTGGATGGGAGAGTTGGAAGGGGTCAACCTCAGCGAATGTACCTCCCCTGTGCTGCGTATCCCGCGGCCCGCCTGCACCAAGTATCCCGTCGCCCGACCTACCAACGCCCCCTACTTCTTCTAACGCCACTTCTTCAAAATAGACTGGCCCAGGCCGAAAACTGACTTTGCGCATGGGCCACGAAGCTTCAATCACACTGTACATATGCGCCCGCACGTGGTATTTTGTGGAAGAGCCACACTCAAGGGGCCAAGATCTGCATGTGGCTTGCGAGCCACGGCTTGCCAACCACTGACCTAGCCTGAGGAGGGAGCTGTGGCTACTCTGATATATAGATAACTGGCGACTGCACCCGAAGCCGGCGTCTTGTGGCATGGAGCCCTTGAGCTGTGCCACCTAACTCTGGGTAGTTAGAATTGGAACTGAATTGAATTGCTGAACACCCAGTTGATGTCCAGAGAACTAGAGAACTGGTTGGGCTTGTTATAAAAAATGTGTACACACACACACACACACACACACACACACTAGAGGCCCGGTGAACAAAATTCGTGCACTGGGGGAGGGGGTGGTGTCCTCAGCTCAGCCTGTGCCCTCTTGCAGTCTGGGACCCCTCAGGGCATCTCTGCTTGCCAGCTTAGACCCGATCCCCCTGGTCCTAAGCCAGCACTCAGACATCCCTCTTGCAGTCTGGGGCTCTCACAGTACAGGAGCCCAGTGCTTCCTCCCTGAAAAAATAAAAATATGTTTAAAAAATTGAAATTAAACATGGGTGATCCTATGTTGATCCCTCCTCTAAATATAGGCTGGGGCAAAAGTAGGGTTACAGTTGTGAGTACGTGAAACACAGTTTACTCTTATATTATTACTTATTAACTAGAGGCCTGATGCACGAAATTCATGCAAAGGGCTCAGCCCTTGCAGCCCCAGCTTCATCCGGAAGGTCATCTGGAAGGATGTCTGGAAGGACATTCGGTTGTCTGGTCTAATTAGCATATTAGCTCTTTATTATATAGGGTGAAGAGAGCCACTTTAAAATGGAGAAACTGCCTTGCTCGCCTTATGCCTCAAACTGTTGAGATGTTAGAACAGGCAAAACGGCCTTTGATCTGGGCCGAGGGTAACACTGCGTCCCAAAGCACTGACTGTAAGGATCACAAGAAAGCAGATAGGATTTCAACTGGACTGGAAATTAAAAACTGTTTAGAATTAGCGTCGCTGTATCAGCTTATCAGCACCAACAGCAATGCCTTCCTTCTATGGAGGCAACTGTCCCCTTCCCTTTCTCATCGATCCCCCTGGCCTTTCCATCCTCAGTGGAACCCCGTTTGGGCTTCTGCTTGAATCAGTGTTTCCCAGGTAGCTCTTCTTATTGATCTCAAAGAACTGCGCTGCCCTACTTTGGCCTTTTATTTCTAGGTGAGCGGGTGGTCGGTGCTGGGACCCCAGGGGAGAGCTCTGCGGCCTGGCACTGAGCTGAAGGCAGACCCGGGAGGACTCACCGGTGATCTTATGCAGCATTTCCACCGCCGGCTCCTCCAGGGTCTTCACTTGCTTCTTTATGATCGTCTCAAACGTCTTGTAATTCACGAACCCTGGCAGCTCTCTGCCGCGATACTGATTTTCAAATTTCCTGATCTGTCTAAAAATATCATCATAACCTACCGTGGGAAGGAAGAGCTCTGAATTATTTTACAAAAATAAGGTCGCCAGCTTTTCTAAACACAGCGCCACCCTGGACTCTCTGAAAGCACACAGTGGCACGAAAAAAAAATCACATCTGATTTGCAAATCGAAAAACAATCAGGGGTTGCAATAGCGAAAGAGGCCTTAAT